GAGTCTCTGGAGAAGTATCCGGAATCTCTGGGATTTCTAGTGTCTCTGCATCTGGAGAAACTGAGGTCCCTGTAACTCTGCTCCCCACCACTTTTGAAGGTCAGTACCAAATCTAGACTTGGGGAAGACAGGCAGTGTAGGTACTAAAGGCTATGTCTCACATTATCAGCAGTCTCCGAAAGTTGATTCTGTTCATCTGGACTTAGCGTTTTGTGGGAGAAACGTTTCGTCACTCATCCAAGTGACTTCTCCAGTCTCCGAAACGTTTCTCCCACAAAACGCTACGTCCAGATGAACACAATCAACTTTTGGAGATTTACTTTCCTGGATGATTGAAAATGCATCAAGACATTATCAGCATTGTTTTTAGGAAAGGGATAATTATCAGGGCTCAGAACCTCAAAGCAGAACAGAAACAACAAGGATATAAAAGTTTACTTTAATAAAAAATGTTCAAGGTTCCCATAAACTATGCAAGGTTAAAAAAAAATGGGCACAGTTGTGCAGAACGGGAAAATCGATTATAGAAATACTTCCTGTGGCTTTCCCTGAACGTTCTTTCCTTCATAGCTTAGTATCCCACCATAGAAGCCATCTGAATTTGTTTCTGTCGGTTTGTTCTTTACTAACACCCACACTGTTTGCGACCACTCTGCAAATCATATTTCATGTTATTAACATCAGAGTCTTATCTTCATTTGTCATTTAAAGTCATAAACTCTTGCTTAACACTGCTAAAACACTGCGGCAAACCATGGGCTACTGTTTGCCAGATGTCTTGTCCCATGTCTATGATCTAACCTTTATTTTTAACACCTAATCTTGTCTCTAACAAGAGGAGAAGCTGCTTCCACCTACAACACAAAGCCCTCAAGAGGGTGCTGGCACTGTAGAAGGGTCAGTGAGCTCTGAGCTGCCAGAGCCCAGTGAGCCTGATGAGCCAGACAAGCCTGAAGAGCCTGTGGTTGACAGACGAGGTCAGTATAGAACAGATGGGAATGTTATATAAAACCTATATCCCCTTTGGACTTGGAAAGTTCTGGTGTGCTTGGACCTGATTTTTATTAACTTTGACCTGTGGATTACAACGGTTGTCTCTGGAGGATTCGGGACTTTTTAACAAGCTACTATGGCATGTCTTCCTTTTTCTGTTTTCCTTCTTCTTGTCCATGTATTCCAGGTATGCCCATTTGCTTGCTGTGCACATGCCTTGGTGGTTCAGTCTACTGCGATGACTTGAATCTGGATAGTGTGCCCCCTCTCCCCAAAGACACCACTCACTTCTATGCTCGCTACAACAGAATCAAAAAGATCAACAAGTCTGACTTTGCCTCCATGAGTATGTTTCCATTTTGAATAAAAACACATCAGTATTAGTTCAGAACCATACGCAAACTTAAATGCAAGCTTAATTTTTCTTCCGATGTGTTTTCCCACCTTCCTTCAGACAAACTGAAGAGGATTGACCTGACCCACAACGAGATAACATCCATTGAGGACAGAGCTTTTATGGGTCTGCCTGAACTGGAGGAGGTGGTGATTCGAGAAAATCACATCTCCCAGCTGCCGTCTTTCCCAGAGACTATGACCCTGATTGATGCCAGCCACAATAACGTTGGCTCAAAGGGTATTCATAGAGAGGCATTCAAAGTACGTACACCTCTTTTACTTACAATTGGACTCGCACATATCAAGTAAAACTGTGTGTATTTGCTCACGACAAGAAATTAAAATAACATTTTCTTAGTCATTTGGAAGGAGCAATAGTTTGTCAGCCACACATGTATTATCTCAGCTGAATGCAGGAAACTGTGTTTTTGGATGGAAACAGAATAAAAGGAAAGTAGCAGGATAAGAGTACAACTAAATTAGCAAAATTCTAATGTTAAGCCAGTGTTTGAAATCCAGTATTGTCATGAGTGCCTTAAAATGTCTTTCACAAAGGTAATATCTAAGGTTCTTTGCCATTAATGATTATCTTTCCTTACATTAAACAGGATATGACTGGCCTGCTGTACCTGTACCTAACAGACAACCACATTGATTATATCCCAGTGCCTCTACCAGACACCCTGCGGTCTCTGCACCTACAGGTATATCCTCTGGCCAAACCATAAAATCCATCCATCCATCCATCCTCTTCTCTAATTCAGCAGTTTTAACTCGCTGCTTCTGCATTTTGACTTTGTTCATGCTCTTGTTGTTTATTTCAAGTAATATTTATCTAATTTTAGGACCTGATCCCAGTGTAGTGTAGCTCAATGACAACAAATCACATCTTTAAAAGTTAACACTCATACTACACTAGTACTTAAACCACCAAAATGTGCTCTAAGATTATGCTGTTATTTCTATTTTTAGTTCTATTTCTATTATCTTTATTATAATTGTTAGCTTTAATATGCATAAAGATTTTTATCTTCGTTAAGGGAATTATTGACCGTTTAAAAAACTCTGTTTACGACATTCTCCCATTTCACATTATTAAGGAGGGATTTAATGTAATTGGGCCTAGTATATTATCACTAATCAATCTTTCTTTGTCACTGGGTTGTGTTCCGGCTGCCTTTAAACATGCCGTAGTGAAACCTGTTCTTAAAAAGCGTTCCCTAGATCACTCAAACCTCACTAATTACAGACCTATCTCCCAACTTCCGTTCCTGTCAAAAATCCTTGATAGTCCTATCACAACTTCAGACCTATCTGAATGTGAATAACATCTGGGATCAATTCCAATCTGGGTTTAAACTGTGCCATAGTACGGAAACGGCACTCTTGAGGGTCTTCAATGATCTTCTTTTAATTACTGACTCTGGGCGCACCGTGGTCTTAGTTTTGTTGGACCTGTCCTCTGCTTTTGATCTGGTGGAACATAATATCCTCTTAATGAGGCTTGGACATCTGGTTGGCATTACGAGTATGGCCCTTAGTTGGTTTAAATCTTACTTATCAGAGAGGTCCTTCTCTTTCACGATGGGTACCTAATCCTCTTCCATTTCCCCCGTTACCTGTGGTGTCCCTCAGGGGTCTGTGCTGGGTCTCTATGTTACCTCTTGGTCGTATTATTGAAAAGTACAAACTCTCTTATCATTGCTATGCAGATGTTATTCAAATTTATTTTGAATTGACTGAGGATGATACTTCATCGATGCTTCGCTTCTTCCATTGTATAAGACAAGTTAAATACTGGCTGCAGAGCAATTCCCTTATCCTTAATGACAAGACAACGGAAATTGTAATCTTTGACAGTCGTACCCCTAGAGCCCATCTAACTGGTGTCCTCGGGCCCTTCACTGATTATCTTTCCGACTCTGCGAGTAATTTGGGTGTTTACCTGGACGGCTCCTTTAAGCTTGTAGAGCATGTGTCCTCTGTTATTAAATCTTGTTTCTATCAACTTCGTTTAATTTCTAAGGCCAAGCCAAACTTACCACGTGAGGATCTAGAAAGGCTTATCCATGCCTTTGTCACATCCAGGTTAGACTATTGCAACTCCCTATACACTGGGCTTCATTCTGCCCTTCTTCATAGACTGCAACTCGTCCAAAACGCCACGGCTCGCCTTCTAACTGGTACTCATAGGTTTGAGTCTGTCACCCCAATTCTCACTGGCCTCCACTGGCTTCCAATTAAATACCGCGTTGATTTCAAAATCCTACTGCTTACTTATAAAATGATAAATAATATCGCACCTAGCTACCTTATTGATCTCCTTAGCGTGTATACTCCCAGTAGAACACTGAGATCGTCTGACCAATTGCTTTTGGTGCAACCTAGGTCACGGCTGAAAACTTGTTTTTATCGTTAAGTCTTGCTTGCTTATGTGCGTACTTGTGTACTTGTATGCTCGGTTAATCAATGCCTCCCAGCTGCTAGCTTATCTGCCTTTGTACTTTACTACTGTTTGATTGGATTATGTGAAGATTATGTGGCTACCTGTAGTTTTAAATGTGCTATACAAATAAAGTTGTATTGTATTGTTTCAGCGTAACAATATTCAAATGATGCACGAGGACACGTTCTGCAACCTCCAAGATTTCAGCTACATCAGAAGAGCACTGGAGGACATCCGTCTGGACGGCAACCCCATCAACCTCAGCAGAACCCCACAGGCATACATCTGCCTGCCCCGTATACCCATCGGGGATCTCATTTAACCACACAAATACAACCACACGCACACATATTTGTACATATTAACAGCCCACATACGATTCATTCACTCGTCAATCCAAAATCTCATTTACAACAGTGCCTTACCAATAAACTGTCATACATGCTGCTGGATATAACACCATTTAGATTAATTATCAGCCTTAAAAAACAGAAATTAGTGAGTGTAATTCTGCTGACCAAGCACATATTCACTGCTCTACTCCATCTTCATCCCGTTGTTCGGATATTTATCCCAGGGCACACAACAGCACGCGTACACACCAAAAGATATGGATACTCATATCCATATCCACACACACAGACATTCACACAAGAATGCTGTCAAAAGCCAAACTGTCCCACAACTTTATTAAAAGTGAACAACAGGCAGTATTCACAGAAAAACAAATCTGTTAAAAGCCCTCAAATGTCATGTATGTGTTCGTTTTCACAGTTGGCAGAAAAATGACAACATTCTTTAAATGTATTTGTTTTGTAAAAAAATATAATGTTATTAATAATAAATCTAATAACTTTCGGCAATGTATACTAGAATATAGTTATCAAAGCTGGAGCTTGATAAAAAGTCAATTGAGTATCTAATGCAATAAAATGTGCATTTTAAACACACTCAGTGGTTGTAAAGTCTGTACTGTAATATAAAAAAATATATATTCTGATCATGAAAAAGGTGTTGTTTTTTTTAAGTGAACTGCAATTTTTCGGTATATTACACTACAAAAAAGTGATGTTTTAACCATGCACAATAGCTGATACCAACAACTCTGATGTGTAGAGTCAGTCAACAAAACACTATTGTTTAGTATGGGGACGGGAAGCTGTTGATTTTGATTGTGGATGGGGTAAAGAAAAATGCTAACAGGTTGCTATTGTGTGCTCTGTATGGAATAACCACAAGTGAATAAAGTCATTTTGAAGACCTCTCCAAACTAGGAGTGGCTCAACGTTTTTATTGATAACTAGTAGATGAATTATTAATGTGGATCTTTAATTTTATGAGGGCAAATGAGAACTGGGAACTGCTCAGAAATGTGCCAAAAAAGGGGGGAATTTTTGCAGATAAAGCCAGTTTATGCAAGGATTTTAGAGCTGAGATTTTCTCAAAAATTCTCAATAAGCTTCTCAAACAAATGAATTAGCCTCTGTTTCCTGTCCATATCGCCTGATTCTTTCACATTGCTGCTGTTGCTGTTGCTGCTGCTTTCTTCTGTAACCTCTTCCTCAGACCCTTCTTTTTCTTCGGAAAGGCTCACCAGTGTAGCTTTCTCTCGCTCCAGAGCCAGCCGGTCCCTGCGCAAAGCATCCCTGTCCCTCTCCACCATCGCCCTCTCCCTCTCCATTACTGCCTTTTCTCTGTCCAGCGCCGCCCTCTCCCTCTCCAGCACGGCTCGGTCTCGATCCAAAACTGCGATCTCCCTGTCCAGCACTGCTCTCTCCCTCTGCAGCACCAGACGCTCCCGTTCCATCACTTCTTTCTCCCTTTCTGCCACCTGTTGCTCACTGCACGTCGTCCTCCTCTCATCCTCCACCTCTTGTAAGATGCAGTCTATATCCTGAGGTCCCTCCTGTTCCGCCACCACCTCCCCATCCTCAATCCCATTAAGTGGAAATTCAATCTCAGTTGGAGCAGCCACAATAGAAGACTTCACCATTGCGGCTAACTTCTTCTTTTTGGGTTTGATCAAGAACTCCCCATTGTCTTTGTTGTGGGGGAAGGCCTTGAGAATGGGGGCGCTGCCCTCCAGCCGACCCGCCATTGCATTGTCCATCAAGGAGAAATAAGGCCATACATCAGGAAACACTTCCACCCCTTCTGGGGGATGCTTTAGCTCCTGAGGAGACAGAAAGAGGGCAGGAAGTAAAGGGAAAGCTTTGTCAAAAAGCTTTATTTGTCCAAGTGAAAAGAAAACAAACAAACAAGATACAAGATACCTTGTATCTCTTCTTCAGGTTTTCCCATTTTTTAGACGCTTGATGATGGGTCATCTTACGGTGTAAGCCCATATGTTTCAAAATGGTCCTAAAAATATAATACGCCATGTCTTGTGATTAAAACAATTTTTATACTAACATCAAAAGCAACGATGAACCATTATCACTGGTAGTAATAGTAAGATGGGGCAAAGACAAAGGTACAATTTTTTTTTTAAGTATTTCTGGTTCCGAAATCTATATAGTTGGCATTTTTCAGTGTCTGGGAACTTGAAATTATTGGCATACCTCCATGCCCACATAGAAGTATTTCTCTTTCCAGAGAAGAGGTAGGTATTTGAAACCCTCAGCTTTACAAAGTCTTCGATTTCTTTTTTGCTCACTGAAAACGACAGAGAGAAAAATTATATCAGTTACAAATGAATATATGAGAGTGTGTGAAAAATGTATAATACTATATCACTATTTATTAATTAAATACACCTATTATTTAATAATATTTAATAATATTATTAAACAGACTTTTTATTTATTTATTTTTAATTTTTTTTACAAATGCTGCATTCATGGTACATCGGAAAAGGTAAGCCTTTACTTGGACTTACGTCATTTTAAACGTTCGCTGGAAAAAGAAAACATGGCTGTTACCAGGATTGCGTTATTGATTTTCTACAAGAAAAACCTTGTCAACAGACATGTAATTCACTTAACAGAAAGAGGAAAAATAATCGAAAGGACGCAAAAATCATATCAATAATATTTCAGCCTTTCGACTCAATGATGAAGAGAAACAGAAATATAAAGTGCCAAAGTCGTATTTAAAGATCATCTTTACTTTGGTTCTTCTATTAGTCGGAGTTCTTGAATTCACACCCTTTTCAGTGTCCGATGAAGGCAGCATAACTTGTACTTCTCACTTCCTACGTGCGCAAGCTAGCTCCAAGCTATAGTTAGCTTATTTAATCACTTTCTGTCGTTTGTCCTTACTTTTATATGTGAAATCCACGGGCGTATGCATATCGCAAGTGCTGCTGGTGTACTCGTGGTCTGCGTACTCCATTTTTCCTATTTCTCGTACTTGGTGTCAGCCCGTTTATCGAGCGTTCTTTGTAGGAAAAGACTCCTTGCCCCCGTTGTTGGTTCCTTGCGAGGGACCCTACATTCTTCCTCTCGTGTTTGAAAAGAGCGTACTACCGCCACCTGTAGACAGGGAGACTCCAGGGACAGAGTCAGCTCACTTTTATTTCATTTTATTTCATTTTATTTCATTTTAGTTTAGTTTAGCGTTAACAAAATGTATCTCATAATACACCATAGGAAAAAAAAATCTATGATGTTATGTTGCAGATTTTAATACAGAGATAAACATTTTGCACAAGCAAAGATGCTGTTCCATTGTACGGGAGAATTGCATATTATTTCAATTCCGCACCTATCTTTATCCTTGTAACGGTGTTTGTTTATTGTTTGTTTCTCATCAGTTATCTGCTTCCCAAAGTGTAGAAAATACCAACACATGTTTACTACTGCCCATTAAACCTAATTCTCAAAAGCTGCTTAACACGTTTACTCTATTTTTTGGCAACTTTGTTGCATTGGGTAGGCCTTATTAAGATCACATTATTATTCTAGCCTAGTATATATAGTGCCAGCCTCTTGGCAATCAGATGTGGGAGAGGCTCTTCCAAAGGAAAACGAAAGTGTTTTGCAGAAAGCAGAATGGCCTCCTCCTGCCGTGAGTATCTTTCGCGCTATGTTCCTTGTAACATTTCTATATTTTACTGTTCATATATTTTATAAAGTCTGGTGGTATTTTGTTTACTGTTTGTTTATATTTCCCTTTAAATCACATGCGAATTATTTTTAACAGCTCTCATTCTATCAGAGTTTCCATAAAGATTTTCTGTGATGTCAAACATGCCTAAAATGTGCAAATGTGCAGCATATTTAATATTTTAACAAGACCAATAGTCTAGATTTGAACTCTTATTCTGAGACACTGATCGTCATTGTATAGAATTAGACGTTTACTTTCTGTTTCATTTACTGTGAAGCTCGATTGCATAGAATGCCTACAGAAAACCTGAAAGCTGGACTTTAATAGTTGTGTTTTAATTCCTCATTTACATAATTAAATTAAAGTTAGTATGCACTTTTTTATACGTTTTTATAAACGTATATTATTAACATGTGTGAAACTCTTAATAGCATGTTTAACTAGCCAGCAGGGGGCAGCAGATAAACATGTTATTAATTTGCAATACAAACCGGCACAGAAACTTTGTTTTCAGATTTTTCTAATAGTACTAGAAGAATTGTAAAATTTATTTTATACATATATATAAAATAATTAACATACATTAGATAGAAAGGTGGAGCAGGTGAAAAAATAATAGCTACACATAGTTCTAAAGTGAAAGGGACAAAGCAGCTCAACAGCAAGTGAGGGAATGCAGCTTTACAAGTTTTCAGCCTGCCTTTATTACCAACATATCGAAACTATATTGTCATACGTTATTTCAAAATAAAAAATACTGTAGTGTACAAAATTATTGAGCCACCCCTCACTTCTCAATAGTTTGCTTCCAAGGAGCCAGGCTGTTAAAGCGGTATTGAACAATGCTACTCTAGACTTTCTGATGGTTTTCCTTTGGACATTGGCTGCTTTATCACTCATTTACAGTCCAGGGCTTGTACCTGACCATTGTTTTTGGTTGTTAAGCCACTTAACATTGGCTTAACGATGTTAAGTCATTCCAGCAAACAAAAGGTGCCTAACTCAAGTTATAAAATATTCGTTGATCCATCTGCTGTTTGCTGAAGCCTCATCACAAATGGTTTCAGTGGAAGAAGAAGCCATTTTTAAAGAAGGGAAACAGTGAGAAAAGGCTGAGGTATGCCAAATTACATAACAACAGGGACTGAAAATCAGTGGCAGCGGGTCTTAGAGAGTGATGAATCCAAGTTTGAAATCTATGTTTCTAATCATCATCAATATGTGCAAAGATCAAGAGAGAGATACAACTGTGAATCTGTAAAATATGCCGGAGGCTCTGTCATACTTCGGAGCTGCATGTCAGCCAGTGGTGTTAGGGATCTTGTCAAAATTGTTTCATCAATTTGAATTATGAACATAAGAAAAGTGCAGTCAGATTTAAATCCACCATGCAGTACCAGCTGATTGGCACTGGGTTTGTTTCTCAGCATGACAAAAAGCCCAAACACACTCAGTGTAGTAAAAGCTAGAAAAACACACAATAGACCAGCATCCCCAGAGCCCGGACCTCAACACTTTTGAAGCAGTGTGGGATCATCTTGACAGAAAATGGAACAAAAGGCAGACCAACATCCAAAGAAGAGATGTGAATGCCCTTCAAAAAGCCTGGAGAGCTTTTCCTGAAGACTATTTAAAGAAATGGGGGGGGGAAAAGCCTTCCTACCAGAGTTAAGGCTGTGTTAAAGTATAAAGGTGGTAAAATCAAACATTGACAATTTCCATGCATATTTTCACACATTTCAATAAGTTTCTGGAACAATTTCCCCACTCTACTAGCAAAAGCTAAACAAATTAGGGGTAACTCAAGACTTTTGCTTAGTATCATATGTACTTTAACATCCTCAGCTCTGACAAGAAAGGTCTACCACAAAGCCCTGAGCATTAGTGAGATCAGATGTTGTTTCTGTGCCTTCAGAGTCTGGCTCAGAGTTACCCTTTGTAGTTGAATTCAGGCCTCAATGCAGGTCGAGTTCCACAGTGAACTGTATGTTTTGTTATGCTTTTCCATTCTTGTAGCAAAGTTGCCCAAAAATATGTACCTGTATTTGTTCATATTACTTTATATATTCAGGGATGTATCTCTAGTAAATAAAGAATTTAGCTGTATATCGGAGGAACAAAATATGAAAGCATATCATGCATTTTTTGTTGTTGTTTTGTCCAGAGGCTGACGATGAAAGCACTTATGGTTCTGATGTCAGCAATGAGTCAGACAGCGCTGAACCATCAGATGAGGAAGACAATGAGGAAGACGATGAGGAAGACGTTTTACCCTGCAAGTTTTACAACAAAGGAAACTGTAGGGACGGAGAAAGGTGTGCTTACCTACACGTTTGCAAGTATGCTCTTAAAGGAAACTGTCGTTACGGCTCCAAGTGTAGACTAAACCACACTGTAAGTCAAGGTGTGCCCTCCAGTGCAAGCGGCAGGACTCCGGATTGGTCATCATCTAGTCATGGTGAGTATTTGCTTTTGGGGTTTTTAGTTGTTTGTTTTATCGCCACAAGACGTTTTCTTTTTTTTCTTTTTTTTTAATTTAAGTGAGAAAGATTATTTACAAGTGAAAAACATTCAAGACAGTTTTTAGTCTTCCCAGGACAAGATGTTCCACTAAATTTCCCACAATGTCAAACTGTGCAATGCCCAAAGAAACCAAACAGCTACATTTCAGGCTTGCAGGCCTCTACAGGCCTCAGTAAGCATGTTAAATGTTAAATTTCACGAAAGCAGAATTAGAAAAAAACTGAATAGTATGGGCGTTTTTCAGGAGAACTTCTTCTCCTGTGGTGGAGGGCTGATAATTTGTTCTTGTTTTACCGCCACGAGACCTTGGGCGCCTTGCAGCCCCTGAATCGACCATGAACTCCTCTGTTTATCAAAGTATTTTACAGTCCAGTGTGAGGCCATCTAGCTGACAGGTAACACTTTGGTCTCCAACAATATCAGCTAGTTCCTAACAAATAGCTGCAAGAGCCACATTTTACCTTATACATATATTTACATGTTCGAGCCATATTAGAGCAGCTTTAATGTCCAGTAATAAGTCACTAATTACAATGTATAATGTCTTTTTGTTTTGTTTTTCTAACCAGACCAGAGGCTTACTGATGGCCGATGCTACCAGTGGCAGCTCAATAACGGAAGAGGCTGGAAAGATGTTGAAAATGATCACATCCTTGAGGCCCAGTATTCGCTGCCCCACACCAAAAGCATCAAAATATACAACACATCATACGGGTAAGCAATGAGTTTATGAAGAACTTTTTATTTCCAGGCACACTGTAGTCACTACATGCTTCAACTTTCCTCTCTCTACAGGGCGGTGAGCATAGACTTTAAAAGGATGAAAGTTCTTGGGAAGAAATTGAGAGTGAGACGCCTGGATGACGGTAACACTGCGTGGATTTGGTACTGCATGTTGGGTCGTCGTTGGATCAAGTATGGAGCCAAGGTAGATAGCAACTAGATCTTTGCTTAAGTTAATGGAAATTGTTCTCCTTTGTCTGTTTGGTAATGATTCTTCTCTCCCTCGCGGACAGGATTCAAAGGGCGTCTCCACTCCTGTGAAGAGCTCTGACATAGAGGAAAAGTTTCAGAGAAATCCAACAAGCTCCTTTACTTTTAACATCAATGGTGAAACTTTGGAGCTCAAATTTAAAGGTGAAGTGAATTCACTAATCTGTAAATTTGTAACACCCTTCCAGCTAAATTCCAGCTTTTTCTTAACAGTCATTGTTCCTTATTTCTGTTTGTTTGCTTAGAAATGCAACAGGTGAGTAAAAACAGAAAGAGGAAAGTCACCCGTCGACCTACGTACCGGCAACCACAAGCAGTCGGGGGGTGAGTGTTCATTTTCCTCAAGGATTTTTGTTCAGTTAAAAATTGTCAAGAAGATAAGATGAGAGAATTTAACATAGTTTTCTGTTTTATGAAATATTTTTGATTTTGTTGTCGCAGAGTTGCTCTAGCATCCTCAGGTTTCCAGAATCTTAGCTTGGGCACTAAGCCACAGTGGGAATTTGAAGGCGACAGTGGAAAATGGCACAAGTTCAAACACAGGGTATGTCATCTGTGCAGTGGATGTCATTTTTAGGATTATTCAAAGTACAATTTCTGAGTTATTGCATTGACATAAATCATCACAGTTTGTCTGTGGATTTTGTCTCAACAGAAAAGGACTTCCACTGACTGCTCAGTAACCAGTGATGACATTGAGAGCAAGTACCAACAAAACAACAAAGGCACCATGCTCTTCACAGTGGCAGGACAATCCTACAATCTTGACTTTGGAGGTTGCGTTTTTATATTTTAATCCTGTAGTGAAAAACTCGAAATAATAATTAATTGTTGGCTCTTAGAGGCATTTTAATAAACAACTGACTATCCATATCTACCTGTTCCAATATGAAAAAGTGATGTAACATTTATTTAACATTAGACTTTTGTTGATTTGTTTGTGATTTTCCACAGCAATGATCCAGACCAACGTCAGGACCAATCACACACGCAGGGTGAGACGTGTGCTGGTGTGAGCCATCAAGATGATTTCCTGACCTCCAGAAGACTGTGCAGCAACGTAACCACGATGCTGCCGCGTTCCTCTAACTTGAGATTTATATGAGATTTATTTTTGGATGGTTAACACATCCTTTTTATTGTTGAATTTCAGAATTTACCTCATTGCAGGCCTTGTCATGGGTGAAGTTTACAAGGACACTTTTAAATGCTGCCTGACAATCTTCCACTCCAATAATGCATTCTACCAACTTGCCTTTTAGCATCATGGTTGTTTAAATTATTCATCTTATCAACTCAGGTCACAGTGAGCATTTTTTTTCCACACTTCCATATGGGGATGGAGGGGAAAATTTGTTCTTATAGCCAATAATTAAACAAAAGTAAGTGTATAACAAACACTTTGAATTCATGGGATATGATACATTTGCCTTTTTTTAATGTAGAAAAATGAGATGTAACTGTGCAATATTAGTTCGAGGTCTTTTTGCACATTATCTTTGAGATCTTTTTATGCTTTTAACACACAAACTGCCTTGAAAAGTCTCCGTGCCTCTTTGCATTGTGCCACAGTTTTTGCTTTTTGTGGTTTATTTGGCTTTGCACAAATGCACCAGAAACGGGTTTCACTGATTTGGGAGAACAGACTACTGCATCTTTGTTATTCTCTAAATGTAATAAAAAATGTTTGAAAATCACAACACACCAAGACTTTCCCCTTTTTTGTATGCAAGTAGGACGCCAGAACCTCAATGGCCAGTTTTAAACAAATATTTTTTCAACAGCTTGCTTACATTTACATTTACAGAGGGCGATCGTGGCTTAAGAGTTTGATGGGAATTAGAAATGTCCTATTTTCTAATTATAATAAAATTTGGATTCTTGTTGAGTCAACACTAAATTAGTCAGAAATGTAAATGAATATAAATATTTCTTTGGGGTAGTGTAGACCAAGTGGCGAGGAAGGTGATAAGTAGACAGAATCAGCATCAATTTCTTTTAATTGTACTTTATTTCTGACATCTCCATTATACCATTTTTAAAAACACCTCGGTAGGCAAAACCTCACTTGCTTTATACAGGACTTTACATACACCTGAATCTCATTACTCTCTACCACTGAAAAATAGGTTAGACCAAACAATATGATCTAAACAAAAAACAGGAATAAGATTATGCATCTAACTGACAAACTCATTTACACAGCTAAATGGTTTGAAAAGTAAAACACTGCATACAATACAACTCAAAATGTTACTTTAAGGAAAATAAACAATTCTATACACAATGAAAAACCCTGCATTTGGTTGCACCCTGTGATGCAATCAATGACATGACGCTATATAAGTAGGAAGTACTGGGGTGGCCCCTCCCACACATACAGAACCTCAACAAATGGACAAAAATGGTAAGTATAACCAAAGCAACGTAACCAAACATAATTTATTAGAAATTTACCTGTGAATAGAAGAAAATTCAAATGACCTGATGGTTAGTAGTATTTGCTTTAAAAACATATGCATGGATGTAATGGATGTAACTAATGCTACCACAAACACACTCGGGATAGTATGTAAAGCAAAGTTACACCAGCAGTGTCTAAATTAAAGCATTATGGCCAACTGTACAAAAACAAAACAAGAGATTAATTATCGATATGATCAAGAGACGAGTGGTAAATGAGTAACTTTCGTCATAATTTATGAATAACTTTTAACAGAACACCTATACAAGTGTACAGAATAGGAACTGACCTCACAGCCCATTGTCCCTTCAATGGTGCTGGTTTCAGTCATTGTGCAAATGTACCAATTTATAAGGTTGGGGAAACCTGCAGTCAGCTGAGACTGAAGAAGTCGCTCCGATGCATGACGAAACGTTTCACCCACTGAAAACGCAACGTCCAGATGAACAGAATCAGCCTTTGGGAACTGACAGCGGGGGGTGTGACATATAAATGGGGAATGTTACATATGACGGCACTCACACATAATTAAGACACGCTTACAGATTTTGTCTGTGAAGGTAAGACAACTCTAAGCCATTGACAAAATAGGGGAGGGGGCAAAACTCAGAGGGTGGGGTGTTGTTTACAGGTAGGTGTTAGTGAGAGAAGAGATGGGCAGCAGTGGGCTGACAGAGTAAGGAAGGGAAACAACGAAGTCTCATGCACAGTTAATTGATTAGCAAGGTAAATAGCAACTGGATGGAGAGGCGCTGTTTCATAACAGTCATGTTAATTAAACAGCATCACAATATGAAAGAGTCAAAGAACTCAGTCCTTCTGAATTTCAACAACCAGTGCAGAGCCTTTTTGGTAACATGTAACTTTCTCATGTCTTAACTTTGTAAAGCAATAGGAATATTTTAAAGTTCCTGTTCCTTAAACTTTGCCACATTAAGTTGCAGGTAGTTTTGTTCACACCAAATATCAGCGTTGTCTACTCTTCCTTATAACATCGTAGGCCACAGGGAAGTACAAAAGGGTAATTTTGCGGTGAACTGTTCCTTTAATACCATGAAAGAGCAACTCTACAGTCATCTGATGGCTTCACTGTGCTTTAATTTTTGTCGCTGTGAAAAGAAACCAAACCACTGGAATCAGCTGTAGTGTACACTCTCTAGAGACAGCCTTAGGGGAGCGTCATTATCGGTACTTTAGCTCCACCTAGCATTTCCCATGTACGCGCTAAATTGCATTAGCTGAAGCCCAGAAACGAAAGTGTAAGCCATCCGTTTCAGTGAAACTATCCGCCGGCTTCGGTCCTCGATCGCAAGTAAATACAGCGATTTAACGAAACTATTTTTTTCAAGTTTTAATCTGGAAGTGGCTTTTTAAGACCGACTGATTGTGTTATTTTCTGCTTTCATTCTGTCACAGTGGATTTTTATTATGAGATGACGGTAAGTGTGTGTGTGTGTGTGCTATGTGGAGGGGTTTGACAGGGTCTGGAAAAAAAACAGGCGAGCTTGTGTTCATGGCATCATTTCTATTAATTGCTTCCAGGACAATAATGAGGAGGAGCAGATTCCCCAGAACACCCCAGGTCTGTTTGACGTGACAGTTTAACTTCCTGCTATACTGCCTCTATCACTATAAGCCCATAGTTTAGAACACAGAAGACAGTAAAATGAGAACATGTAGCATTTTAAAAACAAAAAATGTCTAGTTTTGAATTTAATGGCACTAATACATCTCAAAAGTTGGGATAAGGCCATGCTCCCCGCTGGGTGGCATCTCCTCTTCCTTTAACAACAGTGTGTAAATAACGAGCTGAGTGCTGATAATAACCCAGACCATCCATTTGTTCTTTAGGCTGATGTTTTCTAGAAAGAATTTTAGATTTTGACTAGTTTGATCACAGAACAGTTCTCCACTTTGCCTCAGCCTAAGAATCATGGTCATCTGTAGCTTCTTTGCATGATAGTTTTAACCTGCATGTATGAATGGTGCGGTGATCTCTGAAAGTGTTTCTGAGCCCACTCAGCACCTTCAGTAACAGCCTGTTTTTAATGCAGTGCTGTCTGAGGATGGCTCGTGGGCATCCCACACTGATTTCAGATTTGCATACAGAGATTTCTCTAGATTCATGTCACTGACATGTTGCCATTTAAACTAATTAATTGCAAAATGTTCCTCCAGCAGTTTTTTTTCTTTTTAGTACTACTTAATTTTCCTTTTGTTGCCCTCATTTGAAATGTTTGAAATGTGTTGGTGTCTTCAAATTCAAAATAAGCTAATATTGCTCTTAAAACAGTACATATTCTCTTTTTAAACACTTGATGTATTGTGAGTAAGATATTGGTTTATGAGCTCACTGCATTCTGTCTAACATATCTTTATTTCAACAGTCAATGGGAAGTATTATGAGTGGCAGCTGTCAGTTGGCCATCAGTGGCTGAAAATTGAAAATGACCATGTGATTGAGACCCACTACTGCCAACCAGGAGCCAAGGGAATCAGTATCAATACAAGCCATGGGTCAGTATGTTGTGATTATATCTGATAGTATCAGCAACTTTAACGAAGTGAGAGTTGGTCAGGGAAGGGAAATGGAAATGTGTCAGATGCCATTTGAAATTTTACAAAGGTAAACCGAAACTCAGTTTTTGGGCTATTATAAATTAACTTTTTACTGTAGGGTGGAACAGTCCTGTAAATCCTGTACGCTTACAAGAAAAAGGGTTCAGTCAAGTTGAGCCATAAAATGAAATGGATCAGCTGATCAAACACAACATCACCCAACATCACTGGAAGACATCAGTTCTTCTATGCATCCTAAAGTTGCTTTAGCCTGCACATATGCAAGCCACTTTTGAACCCCTCCTCACGCCATGTTTACGCCATGCAAGGCCATTATGTTAAATATAAACGTTTGACCACAGAGGTCCTGTCTATAGAAAAAAATATAATTTTATCAACAATAAGTGTTGATACAGATACAGATTTTGTGTCAGGACAATGGAAAATAAATTATTGCATCAATAATCTTTTTTAAAAGGAGCACATTCAGAGAAGTACACTTTTCATTTTAATCTTTTATGTTTCCACAGGGTGGTGTTCATAGATTTTGATACGTTACAGGCTAATAATCCAGGTATAAAGGTGCAGAGACTAAGCTTCCTTCCTCGGGGGCAGGTGGAAGACATAGGCTGGTACTTCAGAGATGACCAGCTGTGGTGTGAATATGGAACACAGGTGAGGAAAATTGCAGGAATTAACTCCTTAAATTTACTTGAAGGTTTTCTTTGAGTATTCCTTGTCATCTTCCTCTTCAGGGTTCCAACACCATGTCATCATCAGTCAGCAGTAGACAAGTTGAACAGCAGTTCACCACGAACCCTCAGGGAACCTTCAGATTTACAGTGGGCCATACACCCTACTTGATTGATTTCTCCAGTATGTGGTGTTTATAGTGATATATTATTGTGAGCTTGCTCTTTTATACAGCTATGTAAATGTGTTTTCATTTCACCTTGTAGCCATGACGCAGAAAAACATCACCACAGGCTTACAAAGGAAGCTGCGCAGGCGTCCAAAATTATCCTCCAACACTGGAGCGTAAGACTTTTTTCTTTTATTCCTGTAGTTTAGACAGTCTTTGTACACTGAGCAAGCTTAGTATACAGAGATGTCAGTAAGAAAAGTATCAAAAATCCCCAGGGAATAAATAAAAAGTTTCTCTGAAGAAGGCTAACGGATGTCACGGGAAAAGAACATGAATGATAATCACTTCTTGTCTCCGCAGAGTTGGCTTGACCTCAGACTTGCCTGCAGCTTCCTCCTCGCAGACCGGTTCTGTGGGCTACAGGTGGGAATTCATGGGAGTCAGAGAGCAATGGACAGAATACCAAGCACATGTAAGTAGGTCATCCAAAAACTGCATGGAAAAATTTTAAAGACTTGCACTAAGCTGCATAGTAGCATCAAAGATATGTAACCGTCCTTACCTCGGCAAAGGAGGTTATGCTTGCATGGCACGTGTACGGATGTCTGTAAACAGCTTGAGAAGTTTTAATGAATTCTGATAAAACTTTGTAGGAGTGTAGAGTGGGGTCGTGTTAGCAATCCATAAAAATTTGGATTACATCGAAAGAGCTCTTCAAGGTCAGATTAATGATTTATTGGTCGAAAATTGACAGAAAGCCTTGTAACTCTGAACTTATGATTCTTACAAGTGTACTGTCAACATATAGAAAGGGCTGTAAGATTTCAAGTATCATGTCACATCTGACCTCTGACCTCTCATTAAAGGAAAGGAAAAGTTTCCACAGGACTCTATAGAGTCCTCTTGAAAAACTAAGTACACCCCAGTAGCTTGTAGAACCAATTTTAGCACCAATAACTGCTTTTTATATGTGCTGTGTGCAGATATGTTCATTTGACAGCGCTGCTATTGAGAGACAGTACCAGCTGAACAAACAGGGCACACTGAACTTCAAGATTAACAGATATTCATACACACTGGACTTTTCAGGTATTGTACACACTTCAGAACTGCTCTTCTGTTAAGCCAAACAATTCATGCTTTTTTTTTTTTTTTTTTTAAGCAAATCATATGGCCACTGAGACATTATCTTCATTAATTTATCATAGGTATGTACCAAGTCAATAACAATTTAGGGACAAGAAGATCAGTTAGAAGGACTCCTATATATGGTGTTCAGCAGAACATCAGGTAAGGAGAAACATTTGACCACACAGTGACCACATCTCTTATTTTGTGCTAATTAATAACATGAATTAGGTTAAATATTATATTTTGAGGACATTTACTGATGTTAACACTAAAAGATTGACTAATGTTAAGATTGTTTTGCCTCAAACACACCAGATATGCACATAAAGATGTATATGCTGTGAATGAATGAATTTCAAATCTTTTGTTTTGTTTGTTTTTTGTTTTTTTTTTAGTTCAGGCCCTCAGCCACAATGGCAGTTCCTAGATATGGATGGATCATGGAAAGATTATTCCAAAGTAAGCCACAACTTTCTTTTTATTCATGTGTAGACGGTGCTCTAGAAAATCCTAGAGTACATCTAGTGCATTCCATCCATCCGTCCAGCCGTCCATCAATCTTCTGCCAGGTCTGGGTCATGGGGACAGAGATGCTCAGACCTACCACTCCTCGCCTCCTCCTCTGCCTGAAAGTCATGGCCTTGAAGTTGGAGATGCTAATTATCATTCCGGCTGCTACTACACACTCTGCTACAAACCATCTCGGTATGAGCTGGAAGTCATGGTTTTATCAACCCAATGAAACCATGTCATCTGCAAATAAATAAAGAGATAAGAACCTGTGACCACTGAACTATTGGCTGTGCCCAGAAATTCTGTTCATGAAAACAGAATCAATGACTAAGGACAGCTCTGGCACGGTCAAGCTTCCTCTGGGAATGAGATTGTGTTCGTGTGGGCAATATGAACCAAGCTCTCATTGTGGTTGTACCACAATACTCTATACTCCTAAAGCACTGTCAAAAATGCCCTTTTTAAATCCACAAAACACATCTAGAGTTGCTGGGCAAATTCCCACATACCTTAAAATTCCTTGGTGTCTTTTTCGGGTAGAGGGAAACTACCACTCCAGTCTGCTAGTAAGGAATTGGGAAGTGTGTCAACCAAGAGGGCTCCATAACATCCCGAGCTTTTTGAGAAACCTGGGGCCTCGTCCCTTAGAAGCTTCATGTGTCTCAGTGAGCAGAGCCCCAGTGGCATGAACCATAGTGAGTTCTCATCCTGGTCCCCATAGTCTTGTTACTTTACAAAAGGCCAACAGTGGGATTCAGGAACATTTCAAACTACTCCTTCCACTACCCCACAATATCTTCAGCTGAGGTCAGCACTCCATCTCTGCTGCCTCCCCCTCCCAAGTTGTCTGACTGTATATATGTATAATATAATATAATAATGGTTATTCATCTATAATATTTCTGTTGAGATGTTGTAGGTTTTGGGGTTAATTCCAAACTGAAACACAAACAATCCCTCGCACAGTTTACATACTTTAACATGGAATTATGGTAATTTGAGCAAAGTATTGGGTGACCTAACCAGAATTTAACAACATTGCCTGACTGTGTTTTCTCTGATGTGTTGTTGCTCTGTGTTATTCAGAGAATATGCAGCACATCCAGTCAGGAGATTGAGTTCCAGTACAAACTAAACCCATCAGGAACTATGACATTTTCCACCAGGAACTTTAGCTATGAGTTAAGCTTCTCAGGTAAGCAGCAAACATAATCAGAAACCTTTAAAGTTAAAAGCCATATTCAACGATTTGTATAATTGAAGTTGTGAATAAATGCACTTTTTGTCTTTTATAGCCATGACTCAGAGAAACCTGAGCACGGGCACAACCAGAACGGTGAGAAGACTTAATCAGTGACTGAGCGGACAACAGATTTGTAGGTCGGGGGTCAACTTAATGATGATCCTACCAGTTGTGTCACTGCCCACCTCAGGTTGGCTCTCCTGTCAGAAACTGCCTCCTGCCTTCCTCCTGCCTTTAACTTAACACAACTGATAGACATTTACTTTGTGCCCTCCGAAGATATGTTGTTTTTAATGCAAGCGTTATAAATTTTTTTTTTCCACATTTTAAGATGACACTACGTTTAGTGTTAAGCAGTAAAATGTATTTCCTTTATCAGTTTTCTACATTTCTGGGTTTAGGGCTGGTTTTAGCAGATTATTCCATATTTAAATAAGTGGAATCATTTACAAATAAATCAGTGGGAGGAAAAAAAAAAAACTTGAGTTTACTTTAAGCCTTTTGTTAACTTAACTATGGTTTCATAAAATGCAACATGCTTTAGTAAATCTTCAAATATTCACAAGTTGTTGTAATGACTGGAATTTTTAAAAGTTTTCCCTTTTTATCCTTTGTCCTTAGCATGCATGTTTTTAAGAATTTATTAAAAGTGCCTTTTAATCAGTGCACTTTGCTTGTGTTTACTTTCCTTAATTGAGGTTCCTTACATTTACATTCCAAAATCTAAATTCGTGTTTTAAAGTCATCAAAGAAATAACCACCATATATGGTGTACAGATGTGTATATGTACAAATCTTCAACCTAAGAAACCAGCACTGTGACACATAAAACAAAGCCATATTACACATGCAGGACAGCAGCTGTATACAAATAATCTTGTGGAAGAATAAGCTTTCAGTTTCTCCTTTGAGCTTCTGCTAGGATGCATCCACATGTTGATCTAAGTATAACAAACGTCTACTTGAAGACATTTTTAATCTTGCATGGAAAAAATAGGGAAATTAACAGAACACAAAGATTCAGTTGAACAATTAAGACTCCCATTAGTAGCGTTTTATACAAAAAAGGTAGTGTAATAAAAGATAACACATTTCAAACTGTTAGCAACAATCATCATCTGAGGAATCAGTGTGACAAAGGTGATTACAAAAATGCTTATGTCACATAGCATTCTGTAATAACTTTTTCTCAAATATTTTATATTCCATATTTGTTTTTGGTGTTTATAGGGATGGCTCATTAGCTGTTTACATATTTGCGGGAACATATCAATTTAAGGAAGCAGGAAAGACCAGAAAACCAACATAGAATACAGCCTTTGTGCATTAACGTAGTAATAATATATCCTAATATAAATTATGTAAATGTTGTAGTGCAGGGCTGTGAAACTTGCGGCCACCCCTACTTACAGCCCGTATATAGATCTTGAAGTTACTTTTTTTGTTAGAGAGGATTTGCGGGAAAAACTGCATTCACGTTTGTAGTTTTGTCTTGTTATACATAACTTGAAATTTAAAAAAAAAACAAAAAAAAACACACACACACACACACAAAAACACTCTTTTGGAAATATTTGTGGGTGTTTTCTTGTTTGTTTCTTTTAAAGTGGCCCTCCAATGAGATGACAGTGCCAACAGTGGCCCACAGCTTAAGTTTGAGACCCCTGTTGTAGTGTGTTGCAATGTTAGAATATAAAGCACCTGCAGAAGGCTGTTGCTGTGTAAATGAAACAAAAATGATTTCTGTTCATCTGTAAACTTATGTTGACAAAAAGAATACATCTACAATGTGATGAACCTTACTATTGACTTATTTTATTGTACTGTGGGAGTTTTTTTTTTTTTTAATTTTATTTATTTCATTCTATTTCTATTACAAGGATACTCAATTCTGCACTTTAATAAAGAAATGCCCTAAAAATTTCTGGTTTTGTGTGTTTTTGTTTTATTCACAAGTACTCAAACAGAGTCTTGCCCTCTCTCCATTCTAGACTGGCACATACAAGGCTCTCTAAAGGGTAATTGCAGGTAACTAAGACAGCGATAACAGCATTAGTACGTCTTCCTCATAGGCAATTGAGGGAAATTTTATCTTCTCTGAATCATATGGACCAACCAAACCCTAGTCCACACACTGGATGAACTTTAGCCCACCAGCAGAAAGTGAAAGCAGTTGTTTGTGTGGAATGGCACGTTTAGGTCTGTCTTCGATCATAAGTAAGTAAACCGGCGTTTAACAAAGTTATCTAATTACATTTTAATCAACAATGCAGAGAGGTGATTTTCTTCTTTTTTGTTTTCACAGGTGGTTTTTCTGAGTTGACGGTAAGAGTGCTGTATAAGTCTAAGCAGTGGGGAAAAAGGGGATAAAAGGTTTTGACCACAATATGTTTATTTATTGTTATTCTAGATTAATGAAGGAGCAAAGGTCTATTGGCAGGAAACTGTAGGTCTGTATGACACATTTACATGCATACATTCATTTACATAGGATTGCCTTTTAGTCCTTTGACTTAAGGACCGTTGATTTTTCTATCTCATCTGACTGTGCCAACAGCAGCTACTTAAAAAGAACAATATGGCCTAAAATAACAACTAACCATAAAAAATAAATACACTACACACGAAGCCATAGCCTTTGTGCAGATTTGCTCAAAAACACATATTAATAAGTGGAGTGCGTACGATAACATGATCTTTGCTTGTGTTTCACAGTCAATGGGAAGAATTATGAGTGGCAGCTGTCAGTTGGCCATCAGTGGCTGAAAATTGAAAATGACCATGTGATAGAGGCACACTACTGCCAACCAGGAGCCAAGGGAATCAGTATCAATACACGCCATGGGTCAGTGTGTTGTGAGCATATCTGATAGTGTCAGCAGCTTTACAAAACTGAAAGTGAGCATGTCATTGGTCAGAAAAGGACCTTTAAGTATTTATATGGAACTTTTTACTGGGGGGTGGAACAACCTTCAGAACAGTGTTATAGAGTTCAGTAAAGCCATAAAATCAACAGATCAGCTGATCTCAGTGCCAGCCCACATTACTGGAACATACCACTTCCTCGTCCATGTATCTAGTATGCAAGCTGCATTGGACCCGCCCACCTTAGCTCCTCCGTTTGAGGGTTTCCCCTTTGTTATATGATGTAGGGAAAGGGAAAGGTGGGGAGGTCACAGAACATCATGTCAAATATAAACTACTCCCACCCATGTTGTTTAGAACATTAACAAGCTTCGCACAGATGACTGGATTTTGTGTTGTCTTTCAACAGGAAGGTGCTCATAGATTTTGATAGGTTACAGACGAATGACCCAGGAATGAAGGTGCGGAGACTAAACTTCTTTCCTCTGGGGCAGATGGAGGACATAGGCTGGTACTTCAGAGATGGTCAAGTGTGGCGTGAATATGGATCCCAGGTGAGAAAAAAAATTCTAAATAAACTCACATTGAGTTTTACATGAAGGTTTGATCCCTTGAGTGTTCCATGTCATCCTCCTCTTCAGGGTTTAAGCATGTTGTCGCCATCAGTCAGCAGCAGAGAAGTTGAACGACAGTTCACCCTGAACCCTCAGGGAACCTTTGCATTTTCAGGCTACGTGATCGATTTCTCAAGTATGTGCCATTTACAGTGATGTGTTCTTGCTCGTACTTTTATACAGTGATATTTTTATTTATTTATTTGGTTCATTTTGTAGACATGACCGAGTTCCACACCTTTACAGGCTCTTATAAGAGGGTGCGCAGGCGTCCAAAATTTGCATCCAACACTGGAGTGTAAGACTTTTTTTTTCCTGCAGTCAGACTGCAAAGTCTGCAGCTAGCTGAGTGAAAATAAAGACTTTAATCCACCGAGATGTCAGTAAGGAAAGCAAAACCTCTGTATGATTGTGTATGATATTCATTTCTTCTGAACTGCAGACTTGGCTCCACTTCAGCCCTGCTCACAGCCGCCGCCTCCCAGACCTACAGGTGGGAATTAACAGGAGATTGCCCAAATTGGACAGAACACCGAGCACGTGTGAGTAGGTCGACCAAACATTTCATGTTGTTTTAGCAGAAATGTGATGCACTTAGAGTGGACTTGAAAGATAATTAGCTGTAATTGCTTGGGTTCCCACAGACCTGGCGTGTCCACCACGTCCAGGGGCCAATCATGGCCCTAGGTCAGATTTTATTTATAGCCCTCCACTGCAAACAGAATGAATAAAGTGTAATTCCTCTTTCCATCTCATGGGCGTGAGTTTTTTTTATACACTCACGCAATACACACAAAAATTAGTCAGATTTAAAATTAACCTGAGATGACGATCTTCAGCAGCTTCACTGAAGTTTCAGGTGTTCCAAACAGCTTGATCTTATTTTTTATTTCACCCTCCACATGTGACAGAAAAGTAGAAAGGTGAGAAGGATTGTTGGCCCCTGGGTGATTTTCCATTAATAAATATGGAACTCTTGGGGGAAAAAGTTTGGACACCATTCTTTCTAATAGTGTGTAACTCCTTCAGTTATTGTGACTGTAAAGATTTCTATAATTACACTGTTGTTCAACAGGCTAATAGATGAAATCAGTAAACACTTTCCTGATATGTTTATGGTCTCAGTAGGTTCAAGTCCTACTTATTTCTCATAAATTATGGTCCTGTTTAGAGAAGAACAGATTTATCTTCGTTTGTCTTAATTTTTTTAACTTTTAATCCTTGCCCCACTGAATTTGCACTAAATGTACAACGTGCATTTCTCTCTTTGTGTTTCTTTCTATATGTGGTGTGTGCAGATATGTTTATTTGACAGCAGTGGTATTGAGAGACAGCACCAGTTGAACCAACGGGGCACACTACACTTCAAGATGAACAGATCCTCATACACGCTGGGCTTCTCAGGTAATACACACACTTCAGAACTGTTAAACCAAACAATAAGGCTTTTGTTGAAGCACATTATATGACCACTAGTATATCACAGGTATGTCTAAGTCGATAACAATACTGGGACAAGAAGATCAGTTAGGTCTCCTTTATATTCAGCAGAACACCAGGAAAGGAGAGATATTTAACTTAGTCACCACATATCTCTTATTTCTTGAGTTGTTAATGTGGATTAGCGTAAATGTTACATTGGGAAGTGAACGCTGCCCCCTTACACACTGATTAATAATTTGACTAGTTATTCTTTCTTGATAAGACACCTGCGTAAAAGCTGAATTTCTGTGAAGGTGTATATGCTTTGAATGTTTATAGTTTAAATCTACAGTCCTGGCTAATACACCTTTTGTATTTTATAACAGTAACTCAGATAAACCTGAGCACGGGCACAACCAGAGCGGTGAGACTTAATCAGTGACTGAGGGGATTTGTAGGTCAGGGGTCAACTTAATGTTGATCCTACCAGTTGTGTCACTGCCCACCTCAGGTTGCCTCTCCTGTCAGAAGCTGCCTCCTCCCTTCCTGCCCTCTTCACCTCAACAGGCTGATCGACATTTATTTATTCCTCCGCTGAAGTCATTTTGTTTTCATTGCAAGTTTGAATTTTTAATCAAGCTACACTAACATGCAGAGATGCAGTAAATTAAGCCATGTATGAGTTTTCTACATGGCCGGGTTGAGCACTTGTGATAGTGGCTAATGTAGCCTATTCCATATTAAATAAGTGGAATCCTTTACAGATAAATCTTTGGAGAAAAACTACTTACAAATCTTTTAACTTAAAATCAGTTATTTTTACCAGTTTACCATAAAATACAAGTAAATTCCGTGTTTTAGTAAATCTTCAAATATTCACAGATTTGTGTAATTATTGGACTTTTTAGATGTTTTCACTTTTTAAAAAATTTTTTTTTTTTTAACCCTAGTTAATTTGCTTATTTCGTGTAATCCTGATTGTCTACAAGCTGTGCCATGTAAATCTTTTTAAGAATTTATTAAAACTTCCTTTGGATTGTGCTTCTCCTTCATTTCTTAGATTTACACTCAAAAATCCAGACAAGATTAGATTGTGCACTTTCCTTTATATGTACAGATTTCCACCCTCAGAGACCAGCACCTTGACACATGAAACAAAGCCCACACTACACATATAGGACAACAGTCATATATAAATGATCTTGTAGAAGAATAAGCTTTCAGTTGTTCCTTTGGGGTTCTGCTAGGATATGTGAAACACACTCCAAAAACTACATCCATTTAGCAATGAAATAATATGTGCCACATGTCGACTCAAGGTTGAAAAACATCCATTTGCAGACACATTTTTAGTCTGGTATGTGAAAAGCAGAGGAATTAACAGAACCCAGGGATTCAGTTAAATGAGTAACACTGCCATTTGTGGCATTTTTATACAAAACCAAAAGGGTTTTGCGATAAAAGATAAAACATTTTAAACAATTATCATCATCATCATCATTATTATGGGAAAAAAAAACAACAACAACCTGTATGACCAATGTACACCTAAAAACCCTAAAATTCTGTGATTCTTGAAAAATGTAGCTTTAGAATGAGCACACATTAATATCTAATTCTTTAGAAAATTTCACAGACCTATGTTATAAGAGGTCAAAACAAAGTTTTAGTTAAGGAGAGAGATGTTCGAGCCAATCGATATGCACCCTTAACAACCGACAGTGATTATTGCACACAACTCAGCTAAGGCCTCTTAAACATTACCACAACAAAAAAACAAACAAATGTCAAGGCCCTCTCAGAGCAACCCACTTTTAAATCAACTATTTATCTACACTTCATAATATGCCACCAGTACAGGTCTACTGATAGCTGAAAAGTGCTACAATCAAAATATATTGTGATAATCTTTATTTCATAAACTGATCAACATAAATGGTAGCGCAGAAGTCCCTTAAAGATCTCATCAGTAAAAACGTGTTAATATATTTTTTCATTGGTCACTAGAATCATGAGGAATCATAAGAAAAGATGTTAATTAAACTTCAGATCTTTTGTGGTCAAGGAGAGTAACATGCAACAAAGCAAGTGGTTAGAGAAGCAAGTGCCAGACAGCTGATAAAGATGGAAAACATTAATACTTGAGTAACAGATGAGTGCCGTCTAGATTTAAATATGTACCCACGTAAGGCACAATAGCTAAAGCAGTGCATATGCTCTTTTATGTAGTGCCTTTTTAAAAAGGACACTGCTTCAATGGTTACTCCACACATCCGACACAGGTTAGTCACCCATACTGCAGTTACAGAAACTGGTCTTGTTACAAAAGAAGGTGCCTGGGCGGTCAAAACTGTTTACTTTAATGTAGCAGCAGAGAAACAGACTACAGAGGAGCTACTTGGTTTTCTTAGCCTGAACTGCAACGGTGGGGCTGTCAATTCGACACCCTCTCTCAGACTTCCTCCACAGAGGAGCCTCTTGGATGCAGATCAGAGACTGCATGCTTCTCAGAGCCAAAATTCAAGCTACTGCCAGTCTACATTTAGATTACATTTTGTTGTTTGTGGCATCTGTTTCCGAGCCAGCTCTCTGATCATTTTAGACTTGCAGCAATTCTAAAAAACAGTCTGGAAAAGCAGTATAGTTCGCATGGATGTAATCAGCCCACTGACAAGCCATTATGTGTTGTAATCAGTCCCATAAATATAGTCAGCATGCACCCATCTCCACCTACTACCATCATAATTGGCAATAAGCAGAAAAGGCCTCAATTATGCAGGAGCTCTCTAGTGACTGTGTAAAGAAGTGCATTCCTTCTTTTCCTACCCAAGTAGTTTTTTTAACTTAATATAATCAGCACAAGGACGCCAAGAAGCAGCAAATTCAAGTAAAAAGTAAGTGAAAGTAAAAATCAAGCCTAGAAGAAATGAGAAGAAGAAGATTATACCCCCCCACTTTCCTGCCTGCCTCTTTATGCACTATTTTTCCTTTTGAGCAGCCCTGCTCTACTGAGCCCACTAGCAGTGAGGTGACTACCTACTATTGACAGTCATAGGAATAATAACAACCGATAACGGCAAATTAACGGGGTGATTACAATCCAAACAGGATTAAAGGTACAGAAGCCTGAAAATGACCAGATGAGAGACACAGTAACCACTTTTTAAAAATATTTTTCCGCCAATTGTGTTGACTCAGACGTCACATGTTCAAGAAGTGAATTGCAGTCCATCCACTCCATCATTCATGTTATTAACACAAACCCTTCCTGAATAATCTGAGTTGGAATTCAAGTCAACCCATCAAGAATGTTAAGTACAAAAACAGTAGGAAACCCCCAGCATAGAAGAAGAAACTTCACCTCGATAGTCTGTCCTTCTAGTCAAGTAAAAATGGAATTCAGGTTAGTTTGCCAACAGAGAGAGTCAGAACTTAAGCCAGGTCAGATTAAAAATGCCAACAGTAAGACCCTTGAAAGGACTTTAAATCTTCACATTCAGTCGGCCTGTTCTGTGAGAATTCAAGGCTCTTCTGTCCACAGTCATTAAAAGAATATACTTAACCTGGAGTCTCTCTTTAATTCTTGTTTAGCCAAATAAGTCTTTCAGATCATTGTTGACAGATGCACTATGTTTTATCCCACTTGGGTTCATGCTAGGGGCAGCAGCAGGTTGAGCAAAGTTCTGAGGGCTGAAAAAAGGGTTTGCTTGCATCCCAAACCCACCGGGCACCCCTCCCATACCAACTGGCACACCCTGCATCTGAGTCTGAGGGTTCTGGGGTGAATTAAACTGACCGAGCCAAGGGCTGCTGGTTCCAGGTGGAGCTTTGGGACCGATCTGGTTAAGAGTGACTTTGGGCTTGTTGGATGTAAAAAGATTGTCCAACGCTGACATGTCAGGAGGTTTATTTGTTTGTCCAGTTGTTCCTTGATTCTGTGTGAGGGATCCAAAGTTTGGGGTGCTGGTGGTGGTGGGCATTCCACCGTAGAGGCTGGGACCTGTGGGTCGCATGCCCATCCCCATGCCTCCTGCCTGGAAGCCCATAGCTGGGTTAAAACCATTTGAGACCGAGGTTCCCATGGAGCCGACCATTGGACCGGAGGAGGGGAATGTAGACATGGTGGATCCTTGCACTGGGGCTGGTCGTGCTGTGTTTGCCATGGACATAGATGTCATGTTGCTGAGAAGGCTGCTGGTCAGATCCTTAGTCTGTAACATAACAAGTAGTATGATTAGTGTTTGAGCACGAGTGTGTGTTTGTGTACGTAGATATTGTCAGGATTTACCTGTGAGTTGGAGCCAGCGGTGGCTGCTTTGATCGTCTGTGGCGCTAACGGCTGCTGGTTCCTCAGTTTGGCTGCCTGTTCCTGCTCTTTAGCCAATCGCTGCTTCTCTTCTAGCGTGAGAGACACCTAGAGGTGTGCAAAGGAAGAAAGGAAATAAGCAAACCAGGCTGCATGCTAAATGAACAAAGAAGAAAGCGGGTGGAAATTAATCAAAAGAATTAACTGCATACTCTGCTAGGCTGTGAGACTGGTGCTGCAGATCCATTTTCCTTCCCATTAACCCCTGTGCCACCAAAGATGTCATCAATCTGAAAGCAAAAAGAAGAGATTTTAAGAGAGGCTAACATTTACAGTCACGTTGTCAGAGCCGATGACTGTCATGAAATCAAGCAATCACCTGGTTGCCAGAATTAGGCGGGCTCTTGCTCTCCTCTGCTTGGTTGAGTGGATTTGATATGTTCATGCTCCTGTTAAATGACATTTGTAAGTGCTTACTTAGTCATAACATTACCAACAGTACTGTCTGTTAATTGCTCTCTATTAAAGATTAGAGGTACTTTAAACATTCTAGGACATTTGTAGTTTAAAAAAATAAAAAATAAAAATCACAATTAATATTCACAGTCATTTAATCAAAGATAATTAGGAGTTTTACTGTACGTGGTGAACTAAATTAAGAAAGACACCTCTGCTGCTCCTGCATGATGTGTAACTGCTCCAGCTTGGTCTTGTGCTCTGTCTCCATGCGGCTCAGCATGTCACGGATAACCATCATGAAAGAGTTAAACTGGAAGAAAGCATATCAATTACCCTATGTGTTATATTAATATTTATATAAAGTTTTCTGTTGTTTTTAGAAAGTTACAGTTAAATAACACAAATATTATATCAGTTTGACTGTGCAGTACTTGATTGAGATTGAGGTTGTTGTCTATACTGAGGGAGACGAGGTGGGGCAAACTCTTGGTAGCAAGATGCTCTTTGGGGATGCCCAGCTTCTTGTGGTTGAATGTACACTTATAGATCCCTAAAGTAAAGAGGAATCACGTCAAATAAAGAATTCTTAAGAAAAACAAAATGTGAAATGATATGGTAATATGTGTAACTTCCTCTGAGGAGGGGAGACGCTACGGTTTGTTTACCTAAGATGCCCATGAGTACTGCTGGTTCTCTAGAGGGGATCTGTTGCAGGAAGGGCAGGATCTCATCAATGACAAACCACTTGTCTAGATATTCTAAAATCTTCCCCAGGCACACGAGAGAGTTCACTCGCACCTACACATCGAGACAAGACACACGGTGACACAGCAAATTACAGAATTAAACAGGAAACACATTTATGCATTTCAGTCAGTAGCTAACAACACTGAAAACAAGAATGTGGCATTTTTAGAAAAGAAAAGGCAAAGTAAAGACTTTTTAAAAAAATATATATATATATCATTTTATTGAGGCAAACAGCTCGAGAGCAGAATGAGCGATGTAGACTCACAGCAAGTGAGGATGTCTGTAGGCAGGCTGATTTGATCCGAGGGATGAGAGAGTTCTTCATAGATGGGTAATCAATCAGGTTTGCAAAGGTTGGGATGATGTTGAGGCACAGCTCCTGCTCAGCGGGAGATAATGTTATTAAATGTGACATTCTGATAATGAGTTGAAATGCATTCTTACTGTGCTTGCAACACTAAAAGGAGAACTAAGAGTACAGGCAAAAATGAATGTCTCAAGCTGACAAAGCACAATTCTAAAAATAAACACCAATGAAGTAAAAATTAGCAACTACTCTTATAAGCTGTGTCCCAATTCCTAGGCCGCATCCTTCGAAGGACCCGGCCTATGCGATCTACATGGGCAGAGTCCTTCGAAGACCGAGAACGCTGGAAGTGCGAGGCTGTGAAATGGGACGGTCTAGCCTTCAGATTTGCGTCACCAGCTGTCTCGGTAGAGTTCAATAAACTCAGCTGTCAGCTCCCTGCTTCCTAAAATATAACAGGACACTGGAGTAAATTCTCTACCATTTTCACACTTCTGTGAGGTCTTAGGAGGTTCACCAGTTTTCTGTTTGACATTTATTAGGCTGTGTGAAAACTATAACTTTAATCTCAGCCAAACCGATTTACTCAGGAACAAATAAAACACTGAAGAAAGCCAAACAATAACATTTTTAAATTAACACCTACATTCACCCCTGAAAATATGTTGAAAGTTTATTTTGT